CGCCTCTCAATTTCAAATGTGCAGCCCGTTGTCAAATATGCCATAGCAGTTAGTATACTCGATACTAGATTTCATTTCGTATTACTCTCTGGCGAAGCAAAGATGTTTTAAATCCGCCATACCAAAACTAAGCAGCAAAAAAACACCTAAAGGTGTTCCCCAGAAGAGATAATTGGTTATGGTGCGCCTGCTCTGCGGCCCAGTGACTCATCGGCTCGCTGTGACACGCTACCCACGCCCGCCGCGGGCGCTGAACAAGCTTCCGGATGGAACTCTTACCGTTTTTTTGGCGTCCAGTTTTCGCATTTTGCCTTCTCAGTGCTTAAATTTGTGAACAAACAGTGCGGACCACATCTTAATTGTCAGAATTCTAACTGCGACGGCATATTTTGAATATGGACAAGGGATTTCTATTTCAGGTATGCCAGCTGAAGCGAGGATTTTGAAAATATTATAATAAAAAGAAATTGTACCTCTAAATGGGGTTGAAATGGCGTCTTCTAGTCGATTGGTGACCAAAGAAAAAATCCTACTTTTTTGTGTATCAAATCACGAACCTCTCTAAGACTAGCTGAGCGCTCCACGAACTGAACTAACCAGGGGCTAGCCGTTAGAAAAGAAAACGGAAGAATGAGATCAGTGTTTAATGTTTTGATGTAAACCTTTAGGATAAGTACCGAAATGGAGAATTCGGTAAAGATCTCCCCTAGTCTGGGAGTGGACCTAGGTTTGATAACCGAACGAGACGAATTTTTTCAGCGGCCACCGATAGCGAGGAGCGCGAGTTGCGCTCTATTTTATTAAAACTTGGGTTGGAGCTAGTTGGTTCATTACTGAATAAAAGGTTAAAAAGCGCTTCAGGCAGATGTTTAATTTGCAATTCAGCTGGAGGTTTATTTATTCTCAAATGTAACCTTGAAATTTAATTCTCCAAAAATCACTATATTTAAATTGTTTTAAGATATTTAGACGATTTTAGGATATTACTATGAAAGCGAGCATTTTGCGCAATCAAGTCGACGGCCGCCGTGGTAGATGACGTTTTTCCACGCGGAATTCTTTCATTTCAAGTGTACACAGTTTATAAAATAATTTTATATCCAAGAAATAAAATATAAATGCATGTACATATCGTTTTCTCTTCAAGGAATCTAAATTGAACACGACCGATTGAACGTCCGTGAAAGTTAGGAAGCCGGCTATGATATGCTTTGGTTCACAAGTTGGACAAGTTGGGTAACCTGATTAGTGTCCAGGCCTACCAAAAACAAATATTATTCTGTTATAATATTAATGTAAGGTATGCCTAATGACGGCCTATTAATATTAACCTCAGTAGCGCCTAATAAATTAAAATAAATGGACCCAAAATATGCGGTCTATTAATTACTCTTCCACTCTACAATTGCAGTAAAGTTTCCGTGGAAAACTATTGGAGAACACTCTTGTCGTTACGAGATTAATTATTTTTTGGCCATATTTTCTTAAGTTTAGTTAGATTTTGAATTCTCCAAAAATCACTATATCTAAATTTTTTAAGGTATTTAGCCGTTTTAACTCTTTTGCAGTGAAAAAGTATATATATATATATATATATATATATATATATATATATATATATATATATATATGTGTTTTTGTTAATTTTGATTAAACTGGTCAAAGAAACTTTTAAACAACAAAAGGTATTTCCTAACTTCCAAAATTATTGCCTATTTATATTTGTCAGTCCAAAGAGAATGACAACGAACCTGCCAGGCTCAATATGTTTCCTATTTGAACAGCTTTTGATATTTCCTTCTTCTCATATACTCATCTACTAAGGGCAGTATTGTGTGAATATATCCCTCGCGAGGGAGGCCCTTTCTTTCAACCCAGCTAAGTAATTTTATATTAAAATTAAATTTTCTAAAAAAACTTGTATGCACGTCAAACACCACAACTATATTTGTAAGGTAAACTTCGGATATATAACTTACGAAATCCAACAAGCAACCGCGTTTTATTCCCAACTTCAGACCGGCAATCTATTTACATTAATAGATTTTGCACTGTATCATACTACGGAGCGCTAGTTGGATTTTCTCCGGACCATATGTACCACCAATCACGACGTCCGATATATTTAGCACATATAATGACAGGTCCTCAAAGTGGTCGATCTAGGATAAAAATCTCGTGACGGTTTTAACTATCTAGTTGGTAACTACTATTTCCCACCACTCAGATCAAATAGTCTTCATTGAGCATCTGGAGGCGCTTAAGATTCATATAGAATTCAGTAAGTATAGAGTACAGATTTATGGCGATTTTAAGCTTTCAGGAGTAGACTGGACACTTGGTCATGTAAAGAGCAACAACCTGATAACACGCTATAAGGCTACATGCTTGTTGGAGTTTATGAACTTTTGTGGGTTGAATCAACTGAACACAACTGCGAACACCGCTGGAAATACCCTCGATCTTGTTTTACCTAACGTGTCTGTTGACTATGTAACTCCTTCATCAAGTCCAATTGTACAAATGGATCTGTTTCACACACCTTTCAAAGTTGGGCTCTTTCTTCCTCGTAAGAAGCCAGTTTCAAATCCCTACGCTACGTACTGCTATCACAAAAGCGATTACCTGAACATGTACAAATACTTCCAAAACTTTGACTGGCGTGAACTTCTTGTCATAAATGATGTTGAGCTGGTGACCGAGACTTTTTCGTCCATAGTTAAAAACGCAATTGATGCATTTGTACCACGGCGCATTTCCAAGCTTTCAATTCACCCTGAATGGTTCTCCAAAGAGTTGAAGATTTACCTTTGCAAAAGAGACTATTTTCATAGACTCTTCAAACGTACTGGTTTGTCTCTATCTTATACTGAGCTTAGCATTTACAGGGCTCTAGTTAAAAAGCTGTACGCTAGGGACAAACGCTTGCACCTTGAACGAGTGGAGTGTCGCATAAACCGGTGCCCTAAAAACTTTTGGCGCTATGCCAAGAAATACAAGCGCAACTTAAACCAAGGTCTTTTTCTGCGCACATATAGCAACGCTAACTATGTCTCCTCACCTACAGAAGTTGCCAATATTTTTTCTGATTACTTCAGCAGTTGTTATTCAACCTGTCAGCAAAGCACTCAGCCGCAAGAAATAAAAAACAACTGCCATGATTTCTTGTCTGGTATTAGAGTAGATGCCGTTGAAATTGCGGAAGCAATAAAAAAATAAAACCGAAGCTATCTATAGGAGCTGATTCTTTTCCATCCTTTATTATTAAGGGATGTAGCAAATTATTTATACCTATTTTGTTGCACATCTTCAACCTCTCTCTTATTTATGGTGTTTTTCCCTCTCTTTGAAAAAAAGCGGTTGTTGTACCAGTTTCGAAAAAAGGTGACAGCTCTGTGAAAAGCAACTATTGCCCAATATCTTTGCTATCTGGATTTTCTAAAGTTTTTGAACGGGTTATGTATTCCCGGATTCTTTTTTTTTTATTTTCGGCATACGTTTGAATTGTCAGCATGGTTTTTTGAAGGGACGTTCGGTTGAAACAAATCTTTGCTTTTTTTTAATTACTCTGCCCCTGTTGTTACAAACAGAGGACAAGTTGATTGTAACTTTTTTGACATGTCTAAAGCCTTCAATAAAGTAAACCATGAATTGCTGTTACAGAAATTATCGCCATATGGTTGTTACCCAGAGCTATGTAACTGGTTCCGTAGTTATTTATCATCTCGACGGAACAGAGTTCGTGTAGATAACAGTCATTCCGAACACTTCTTTTCCACATCTGGTGTGCCTCAAGGCTCCATCCTTGGCCATTGTTGTTTTTGATATTCTTCAACGACTTGCCGTCATATGTTGATAACGCTCAAATTTTGTTGTTTGCGGATGACATCAAGTTTTTTATGAATATTCCCTCATCCATCGACTGCAACGGTCTGCAGCATGATGTTTCACAGATTGCTATTTGGTGTACAGCGAATAACTTATCTCTGAATCCATTGAAAACAAAAGTCGTTTCTTTCTCAAGGCGTCACACCATAATAGACTGCGATTATGTTTTAGAGGGGATGCCATCAAACGTCTTTCTGTTATAAATGACCTTGGCGTTGACCTTGATAATGTTCTAACGTTTACTGCCCATGTGTCACTTGTCGTTGGCAGTGCGACAAGAATGCTTGGTTTTATATCTCGTATTACGAAGCACTTTAATAACCCGGCTTCCTTGGTTCGGTTATTTTGTGCCCTAGTTAGGTCTAGACTTGAATTTGCTTCAGTAGCTCGGAATGCGTTAAATAAAACTCAGGCATTGAACATTTAAATTGTACAGAAGAGGTTAATACGCATTGTGTATGATCGATACTCTCATCGTCGCTTCTATTTTGATTATGAATTTCTTCTTAAAAAAGTTTCGTTGACAAACTTGTCCGATAGAAGAGCGGAACGTGACTTAGTCTTTTTTCATAAGTTAGTAAACTGTGTATCTGATTGTGGCTCGCTTTTAAGTGATGTTAATTTACATGTTCCCTCCCGACCGACTAAAAATCATTGTACTTTTTACATTAATACTCTCTGTGATCTCTCGCCTTTATCAGGCTGCCAACTGCTTTTTAACCGCATCAACAATGCTGAAGTGGATATATTTAGCGACTCTCGGGTGTTCGCGATGAAAATGAAAGTACTTCTTGCCAATTTGTAACGTTTGTGTATTTTTGCTATGTCTGTTATTTTAATTCCTCATTTATTATGTGTACCAAAGAAAAAAACCTGTTGGCTGTTTTCGGGCACTTCAAAATAAATATTTATTTTTATTAATATTAGGATGAGTGATATACGCAAAAAAGTTGAGCATGCAGAACGTAAAAACATGATAGAGAAATTATACTAGCGTGTCGACTGCATCCTTACACCCAATGCCGCCATTTAGACAGGCACTGTTCATGCATCATTAACACCACAAATATCATTCGATATCATTTGTTTATGTCCTGTTTTTCACGCTCCAGTGCGGCCATCGGCGCTGCGGCTACGCGGTCCCAATCATCCCGTAGTGGCCGGCGAGATGGTCTCGCTGACATGCATCATCGAAGGCGCCCGTCCTGCGGCCAACATAACGTGGTACAACCGGTCCGAGCTGGTGCGGCCGCAGCCGCCGTCTACCGAAGACCTGATGAGCGACGGCACGTACCGCACAACGAGCACCATCGTTTTTGTGGCCGGACTCTATGACCACCAGGCCGAGTTCTTCTGTAAAGGCACCAACGAGGTCCTGAAGAACAGGACAGAGGCGCCCCTCCTCCAGGCTGTGCGGCTTGAAGTACTCTGTAAGTGACTTTATGTGAACCGTCCATAAATAATGCGATTAAAATTCGGAGCAACGTTAACCTGGTAGCCGAAGCCGAGGTCGAGGCTATAAGGTACGTCTTGCGTCCTTCTACACAAGCGGATATTCTTGCGTGCCTACTGTCCCTCGAGACACACTTAATGATAATTATATTTTTGTTTAGACAAATCAGATATAAAAGCCAGAACCTTAAACATTGGGACTGCATGAACACTGTATATGAAACTGCTCACTCCTGTAGCTGGTTATGCTGATGAAATATGAAATGGCAGTTTTTTTGTTTTATTGTTTGTTGTTTCATGCATTGCGTTGCTGTGTGCCCGAAGGATTTTTTTTATTTGCCACTACCTAAAACATTCTTAAAGGCAAATATGTCCTGAAAGAAGTCGCAGGGCAATTAGCTGAGATCTACCAAAGAGCACGGTAATCGAGGAAGCAGAAAAAATTTTTAATAAATATAGTTTTAATTTGAAATATCAGTCTCAAAATAATATATAGCTTGCTCACTGCATGTTGCGAGCCATTTTTTAGAGCTGATATTTATGTCGAAATTCGTTTTTTTTTTTTAGTCAAGGGATCTCCTCCCTGCATGTGAAATAAGCCGTGAAGTCCAAGGGAGCTAGCCAAATGAACAATATTGATGAAGATTTAGAGGACATAAAATATAAATAGGTCAAACTATGCCTGACTCTTTTTCTTCATAGAAACGCTAAGTTTTCGAGTAAAGACGAAAAAGAAGGACGCAGTTACCTTATTTTACAACTTAAAAACGGTCATTAACAGAGCTAATCTAGCGCACTCCAGTGGAGGAAGAAAATTAATGTGTTCCTTTAGAATTGAAAGATATCCAGGGGAATTTCGCCTTTTTGGTTGATGTAGCATTGCATTGTCTTTCAGTTGCGCGAAGTCTAGCTGGTAAAACGTTTTGAAAAAGTAAACATATCTATATTTACAAAACATATACTACAAACATCCTCAGGGTCCCGACAACTACATTGGTAAGCAGTGTTGTACCACTTATGTTAATTCTATATTTTCTAGTAGCGCGAACGTGAGCATTGACTAACATCAAGTCTTGCATGAACAGTATGCAGTGCTTCTTTTAAATGGTTACAAATTTGTTTATAAAAAAAAATTAGAAAACGTGGAAGTTACATTAATCGGATTAGTGCAGGTGAGTTTTACGTTCAGAGAGTCATAATTTGGAAGGATAATCATCATGATGAGTGCGCATTTACTACTAAAATATAATATTTTGCTTTTTAAATAGTGCCAATAAGCTATGGTTTCGATTAGAAATTTGTTGAGCGTAATCGAAAAACAATAAGGTAGTAACTTTTAGAGGCACTGGTGGCATGCTAAAAGCACGGTCGAGCACTGAAGTTCACAATCGTGCAGCAAGAGAGGGGCTACCGGTGCGAGAACTCTCGTGCGACGTTTATCTCTGTCTCTAATCATCCCTTTTTTCCCACCGCTAGCCTAGCGCCTGTTGCACAAGTGGTAAACTTAGCCCACTTTTGCGCTTCCACGGCATTTCTAAAATATATGGTTTAATAGTTTATGATAACGCCCAGAAAGTTTGGAATTCAAACCATACGTTTATTTTTAGTATTTAAATTAGTCAATCAATCAACCTAGGTTTTAATTTTCATCAGACACTGAATACAGGCTGCAGAGGCAAATATCAAAATGTTTTACTTGACGAGCATTTTTCAGCTTTGTTCACTTCGGTAGTACTGTTCAATATAAATCACTCGTAAAAAAATCGTTGTTGTCAAACACGCAGAGACAGGAGAAAAAAAAACTATTAAACTTCTCTGTCTGTCTTGTCACGGGACATTAAAGAAAATATCGACAAAAAATTGCGAGGAACAGAACTTCTAGGTGACGAATCTGGCGGGGTCGCACAAACATACACCAAAGAAATGTGACAAAAGAAAACATCTATAATAATTATAATTATTATAATAACAGTACATATTGCATTTCACTTTTACGTGTCCACGCACAGCTGAATGCTTTCATGCGGTGCACAGTGATTAGAGCCCTGCGCGGATAACAGTTTGAGTATCCGCATCCGATCCGCATCCGCAAATTTTGGAACCATGTCGACATTCTTGCTAACCACCAGAGGTGACGATTACATTTAGACTAGCGAAATCAGCGGAAATCACACCGACCGCGTTCTTCCCCGCCGCATGCGGTATCGGAAACTTTCACCCGTGGCCCCTTAACTCTCCCCTGAAGTCTGAACGCCTAAAAAAAAAAAAAAAAGGTCATAAAAATTTTAAAAAAAGTTCGAAAAGAGAGGAGGAGAAGCAGTGGTAGGAAGATAAAATCCTCTCGGTGATGTTACCGGGCGTATGCGGCCGCCTCGAGTCTCACGGTGTTTCGTGTCAGCCAGCGGGCAGATGCGCCGCTAAGTCAAAGTCCAAGGCCTGATCGGATCGACTAACGTGTTGTTCGGGAAAGATCCCGGCCTGCAGGCGCCCAAATATATATATTAAAAGATTTTTTTTTATGATTATTTTGCTTGGGGTGCCTACGGAGGTTGCGCGCGGCAGCCGCTGGCATTGCTGGTGCCCTGGCGTCATAACCGTACGAATATGAATTACGAGACTTTCTTGGCTAAAACTCTAAGCATACAAAAAAGAAACAGGCAATTTTTGGTCTGCCTATGTGCGTGCGACGCTGATTCCGAAACTTTGCAAACCGTGGCGCCACAGGGTCGCCCTCTCTGCAGAAGCTCTTATTTTTGTTTCTGGTATCAGTACCACACCACTCTCTGCGAAGAGGGTGAGGTTTCTTCTACTTTCTTGTGACTTGCTCGTTTGAGGTTTTCTTGGCCCGAGAAAATTTAGCGCTCTTTCCCTGCCAAAGAACTAGCTTTTTCGGGACGATTGAGGCCCTGCATTCTATACTTTTACTTTTCCTATAGATAGCATTTTTAACGAGATGAAATGTACTAACTGGAAGCGATCTTCAGTAAGAATCAGATCTTTCTCAGGAGCCCTATCGTTTCTTCGAAAAACGTTTTTGGGAAATACGTTTTGTGGACCCATTTTCAAAGACATAAATTTCATGAACACAAGGTTCGTCGACGGTGTACGTTTTGTAAGCACATGCCCTTGCGACGTTTTCCCAACAACGTATTTCTTCACTGAGCCGCTAAAAGCTAGCCCGCTTCACTAAGACGTGCTAAACCAAACCACGTCCTCCCCCCTTGTAATCCAGGCGAGACGCAAAAAGTTTGTTACGAAAATAGCAGGATTGTGTGCGACGAAACGTCTCAGGTTTTTTGATGAAACGAACACGGGAAGCCTTGCGATTAAACGTCGCATGCCAACGAAACGATCTGTAGACGAAACGTCAGTCGACGGACTGAATGCCACTGGGCAAAAATTTAGATCCTAATCCGCGGATAGGGATATCCGCGTCCGCAGCCCCTGACATCCGCATCCGATTCGCGATCCGCCAAAATCCGTATGATTTTTATCGGCATCCGCCAGTTTACTGCGGATATCTGCGGATATCTGCGGATATGCAGGGCTCTAACAGTGAATAAAACGCAACTCTAAGTACAACACACACTCACACGGATACACTACTACGCAGGTAATTAATAACCGCCGAGATTACATCGAATTATTTGTGTATCACCATATATTTTATGTTAAGGACACTCCTACTCGTTAAATTCAATTTGCATTCTTATGACAGAAGACATTGTAAAAAGCGCAAGTGGGTAGAAAAAGCTGTAACTACTGCTAATGTAATATCGGATGTAAAAGAGATCAATATAGGAGCTTAACAATAAGGGAGAGTTTACAATTCCATTGCCAAGTTTATAGAAAAACAAAATGTACCGACATCGTCACCTATCATACAATGAACATTACCCTAGTTTCTTAGATCTATCAAACAATTAGCATGAACCAGGCACGTAGCCAGGATTTCGTTTCGGGGGGGGGGGGGGGGGGGGGGGGGGGGGGGGCGGGCGGCGGCCGCCCATGACAAAGTGCTGTATGAGGTGGAGGGGGAGAGGAGGGTCCCAGCAAAATAGAAGATTTCGGGGGGAGGGGGGGGGGGGCGGGCCCCATGGCCCCCCCCCCCCCTGGCTACGTGCCTGGCATGAACCAAGTTTATGTTTGAAGTAACACATCTGAACTGTAGCACAACTTGCGTCCAAAACTTCGGTTGTACAGAATACCAACAAAAAGTTCCTCAACACGCTCGACTGAGCATTATGCCGCCAATCATACAGCCTTCCACACAAAGAATACAAACACAAGTTCTCCGCTAACAAGGCAACAAAATAATTGAACGTATCATGAGCTCGAAGGAAACTGTATTGCGAACCGAGAAATTGCGCTTAAGGGTATAAGGGAAACGCTGCAAATGACAGATGCATGATGATTAAAGTTTAATTTCGTATTACCATGAATTTCGAGATCACGCATAAAACTAGATGCAAGTGCAATCTTGAAGGTAGCTGAGCGCAGGTGGCTTTAGCTTTCTGCACGTTTTTATCGTATTTGTTTTGAGTCCGAGCCAATTACGAAGCTTAAAATTTCTCGCTTACGAAATTTTACACTCTCAATTGCTTGCGATTTTATACCCGTTTTCATAGGGAAAAACAAAATGCAACAAATGTCAAGCCTAGGCTAAAAGGACATAGGGTGAAAATGAGGATTATCATAGGTTATAAGAATACATTAGCGGAAATGGAGCTAAAAAATATCCTCAAAAAAGACCCGAACGTTGAAAGCCTAATTTATTGCTGTGTGAGGTGACAAGTTGAATTGCTAAAATTCTGAATTAATATTGAGGGTAAATACACGAAGGCTATTAAAAAGGTGGAGTTTTATTAGTTTGTACTGCATGGAATGTTATTTTACAGGGTAAGCAAAGTAAAATTCACAAACTGTGAATAAAGTGCATATGTTTTCCATTTGAAAAACGACAGGAAAGAAAACGCAT